ACGGTAGTGCTAAGCAAACAGTTAAATTTTAAAAGCGCGGTTATAAGATCTAACAGATCTTCTTGTTTTCTTATTTGATCCTGTCCTAATTTCACATCTCTGTTAAACTAGTTCATTTTTCTCCAGGATTGTCTCACACACTGACGAAAGCGGAAACTGTCGGAAACCTTCAAGCCATAACGTCATAGCTGGTATGTACTTCTTGGCATATTGCTTAGCATACGGCTTCGAACTGACCGGTACATGATATCAAGAATGTGGTTTAGATATCTTTTTACTTTTTTTTTTCTTCTAGGTTATTTAAAACAGCTTTTTTTTATCTCTTTACTGAATGTCATTAATTGTGGATGTTGCGATTCTAAACTCACTTGAGTCAGTAAACAGAAGTGCAATACGTTAATGCTTTTTAGAAATGTGTCACGGTCGAGTAATTTCAGTCCAAAATTAACTTTGTTCTAACCCGATCTTAAGTCATTAATAAACCATTAATGCTTGAATTCAGCATGCACTTTGTCAGTTGTTAGCATGTCGAAGTGAATGTTAAGTAACTGTAGCATGTGGTGCAGTATCTGTGTGTTCTCAGTGGCCAAAGTCAATTGCGATCATATCAGTTCTGTTTGATTTCTGTTTTTTTCCCCCTTCATTCAGTGTCCTTCGTTTCGGTGTAGTACGTCTAAGTTTGTTAAAATGTTGTGAAAAACGAAGCCGATCTAGACACTACCATCACCTGATCCAGTTTAGAAAGAAAAGCTAATTTTATTCACGATGTAAAAATCAATTCAGCGCTATAGGTAGGAGTTAGCCAGAACATTCTTTTGTTCAGTGTGTTTTGTTGAACCCAAACTTTTTCCCCTTGGGTTTAGCGTCTAAATTCTGGTGATGTCCTTGCTGATTTTGACAGGGAACACTCGCTGGAAAAGAGAAAATGAGACCCTGGAAAAGGAACACATTTAAATTGTCGGCAACTAGAATTTTTCTAAAACAATGCCTATTTGTTGGTTTCTTAGTAGCCATGACGGTCTCAGGTGAATTAACAAATTGGTTTGTTGTATTTCCATTAAGCTAGGACTCTTTTCTTTTGACTTGTTCTTTTCCTTTGACTCGTTTTTGAAATAGTACATCTTAAACTCGTGACATTGCTCCTTTAAGTGTTTTTCGACTTCAAATGTTTGCTTTAGATTGACAAAGGCATTAAATCTTTGTTTTGTATACCACTTTCTGGCTGCATACGTGTCCAATAGCGTAAACGGGTTACAAGAACATATCTTTTCAATTGGCCACAACTCGATGTTCCCAGAGACAATGATTACGTAATGTCACAAGTTGCAAACAATAAAACCTGGAAGCGAGGTTGTTTGCAAGGGACAATTATTACATTATCTCTTTCAAGTCGATAACAATAGAACTCTAATTAGAAGTGTAGCGTATATGCTGAATTATTCTGCCAAGCTTCGATGCATCAAAGTATAAAAATAGCGCCGATATTAATTTTGTTTGTCAGAGTTGTTTCGCTTTGTTTTTCGTTCGGGTAGCACAAGGTACCTATTCCGGGAGTGCACGAACTCTGGTAAGTCACACAAACTGCAAAAATCTTGTCATAAGCTTAGCCCGCAAAGACGAGTTTCTTCTGCTACTTTTTTTGTAGATTAACTTTTGCTTTTCAGATGAGTCAATTATGACGCGGTAGTTGGAACAGTTTGACACACAGTATATTCTTATATTGTCAAAAAAAAAAAAACCTTCATTTTCCTTCCCGCTCCTCGTAGAGAGCTTCTTTTTTTTTTTATCGTAGGCTACAAATAAATTATCCCAGAGTTGGAAATATGGAAGCCGGCATTGTAGCGAATGTCTCCACATCCACAATTGTTTGGCAAAACACATCCCAGGGCTCAAAGTTTATTTTTGGCTTTGGGAGCACTTGTGCGACCAGGTGTAAATTTTTACGCGCACTGCCGAAATTTTGGGCGCAGAGTTAAAACTTTTAGGCGCACAGCTTCAAATACTTGGAGCAAAAGAATACTTAACGCTCCAAAAATAGCGACTCAGGCTTCGTGTTGCAAACTGGGCCTATTCTAGCAGTATTGAACACAACAAAAACAAATAAAAGAATCAGGATATTTCACACAAGAGTTAAGCTTAGATATTAACTTCTGAAGTCGCTTCGTTGAGTATCCTCACTATCCAGTTGCTTGTTGTATGCCTCACCTTTCAAATTCTGTTCACGAAGATTCTTGATTTTTTCAACATCTGGGTATTCGTGAGAACTAGCTCGAACTCTGCACATTTGGTTAGAATTCGTGGACCGGCCCGTTCCGAAAACGCTGAACATGTTTGTATGTCAGACAAGCGAAAACAAAGCTTTCTGTAACTGTTGTTCGCGAAGAACGAGCACACGATTTAATCTCATTCCCAGTTTCCACGCTTTCCGCTGGGACCGCCTGGCACTATGATCCCCATTTGGCGACCAAGAAGCACGTGCTTCATTCCTTCATTTGCATGTGTCAGCGGAGTTGTTTACAACACAGAACGTGGGGAAGAAATGAACGTTCGAGTTCGGAGAATCCACTGGGAAATTAGGCTTAAAGARGACGAATAGAACACACACCGATGAAAGGAAAATGGTGCAACTTTATTATCTGGTGCCTGGTTGTGTTATATCTATGTTTATATTTATATTTATCAATCGGAGTACGTTAGTATGGTCAGGTGAGTAAGCACTAGAGAGGTCGCACTGTGCATTAACTTTTAAGGCGCGGTGGTGCGACTACACATGATTTTTTAGGCGCACAGCCAAAAATCTAGTCGCAAATGCGACCAGTTGGTCGTTAACTTTGAGCCCTGCATCCCGTTGTGTCTCATAGGGGAGGTCTTTCAAAGACTTCTTATTATTCCACTCCAAATGACAGTGTTAGCGAACTGCTAACTACCTTGCTAACAGAGGCGTTTATTTCTACTTCAGACAGTCTGCATCCGGATTCCAATGACAATGAAGAGCCTTGTTGTGATTCAACTGCTGTCACATCTCTTTCTGGCCACGAGAGCTTGTACTGAGATTCGAGTGAAGGCCGAAGATAACTCAATAGTCGTCGGCCGAACCATGGAGTTTATGATCAGCCTCGTGTCGGATATCATAGTAGAACCTAAGGGGTACTCCCGTACTGCAGCTCTACCAGCGAACTGCGCTAGTCATCCAACTCCCTTGAAGTGGCAACACAAGCACACCGTCGCATACTTGAATGCTTTTAAGCTGCCAATTGGTTCAGATGGAATGAATAGCGCTGGGCTGTCAGTGGGCTGTCTTCTGTTTCCCGGCTTTGCCAAATTTCAGGTATTTTGCGGAAAGTGGGACACTTTAAGCCGAACATAATCGAAATTCCCAATTGCCACTGGTTTCTATGACAAGGTTATGTTCATAACAAAGGGCTAGTTTGGTAGAGATTCCGGGAATTAATTTTAGATGGAATAATCTGCGAAAACATTTGAAACGACCGGTTGTTTGGTTGTCCGTCAATAGATGGTCATTTTGTCAGGTCTTCTGAAATACTATATCAAATGAATCAAAACACGTAGGGAGGCCTCTCATTCCTAATTAGGAGATTTCACATGTGGAGGAGATTTCTTTGTGTCCAACAACAGTGTTTTCTACCTGATAAGCTATCATAGGACTGGTCTTTGCCTGGGATACGTCACCTGCACATGACTCCTTCGGATTTCTTAATCGGTAAAATAGTTGCTTTAGAATTTAAGACAGAATCCACCAGAAGTTCGAGTAACGAGTGGACAAAAACCTAATACCAAGATTATTTACATCGTATTGCAAACTTCTGTACGACTGTTTTAAATATCTTCTCAAAAAAAAATCATTTCCAACAACACCAAAACGTCTTAAACGAATTGTTGAACTTCGTAGGAAACACTTGAAAATACTGG